CAAGTTCTACCCTAAGGTCTCCACAATCTATCGTGCCTCTTCCTGGATTGATACGAGACCCTCTGCGACTGTGGTCATCTCCAGTCATCTCCTCATTCAGGGATTTGCCCCAAGGACTCGGAATACATTAATGCTGTCGGTCATTCAAATTTATAACCACTGGTCTGGATTCCTCGAGTGTGATAGTCTCCCAAAGGCAGACAACAAATAGCTCAGTTAACACTTGAAGTCAAGGCAAGTATATAGACGAGTGCGAGCTCTTCGACTTGCTGTGATACTTGCCAAATGGGTGGGGTACGTATGCAATGATCAAAACGCGCTACTTTCTTCCATCCACAGCAGTCCACCTCAGTCCACATCCTTCCACAGCCTGGCGCTTTGTGAATAGAATAGCGGGATAACATCTGATAGCGTCGGTCAGGCGTCGGTCCTTCTATGTTTTCCCCTTTGCCCAACAGATTCCGCAGTGATCCGACGGTGTCCCACTGTGGAGATAAAGAACTTTCAGCGCTCAGTTTCAATGTTTCCCTACTCTCAACTCTCGACCACTCAGCACAACCAGCTTACTCACACATCTTCAAAAAGAAAACGTACACTGGTATGTGTCTCTATTTTCACTGAGTCCCGATGCTGATCATTGGGATGATAGGCTGCCAGCTGGATGTTATCATATCTGCTATCTCTGCCGCCTTCCTGTAGACGAAAAAGTATCAGGACCGCTCAATACCACCTTACTCACAAAGAAAAACGTTCACGGGTACGTACTATTCCATTGCGCCTGTTACTAAATATGCTAATCTCTGCAATAGGCTGGACCTACTGAACTCATATTTGCAATCGTCGTCGCCTTTACCTTCGACTCATGCTACCCTCCATCATGTCTGTGTTCTCTGCCCGCGCATTCTCCATACTTCCACTTGTTATGTGCCTCCTTGGCATTACTGTAATCGCTCGGCCGATAGACCAAGTCGGACCTGGTTCGATGGCTCTTCAGACTAGTGTTGCTAGAAACTACAATCCCGGTGAGAGGCTACTGATAACAAGCCTGGTTTTGAGTAGGCGCTAATGCCAGCGGATTGTAGAGATTTTTCTCAAACGATGGATCGACAAACGTGATCAGCAATTCGCAGACAGTGTGCTTTTCTGCATCGGGAAGACTGAGATATACCGGTCAAGGATGCCTCTAATGTCCAAAAACTGGGAAGAGGAGCCTAAGTTAGACAAACTTGGTCAACTTCACTTCACTACTGAAGAGGCAGGAAAGCAGGCTCTTGTCGAAGCACAGACTCATGCATCATATTGGCAATCCGACTTGAAATTGAACAAGTTGGCAAATTGGAAATACCTGCTCGACGTTCTCGCATTTCTGCATGCTGGATACGATGCCCTTGATGCCCAAACGTTTGAAGAGTGGAATAGGCACAGGCCAAACTGTTCGCTTCTGTATCTAGGTCTTGAATCAAATTGTAGGTGATATTTTACTATGTGAATCACCTACTGATTCAGTGGGAATCAGCGATCGCCCTAATCTTGCATCGCGATCGTCTCACTGCTACAGATAGTCGTCCGACATCAAAAGTATCCTTGCGAATAGGTGACACATGGTTCATATCCCCAGAACGTAAAGCAGAAGACATATCCATTCTCGATGATCCGCTTTTCTTCGCCCTTGGGAGTATCAAGGAGTCATACATTCACAGTCACCTCAATTTTGACGCTCTGCGCGAATCCGCTGCGAAACACACCAAATTCCTTGATGACGGATCAGAATGGCTTTCTGTTCTCGAGGAGAAATACAAAGCTCTCGAGGAGAAGTCTGGGAAGGCCTGGGAAGACTACTTTGGCGAATGGTTGTATACTGACGGCATCGTGGATTATCTTCTCAAAAAGCATGCCGTGAACTTCTCGAGATCGGACTGGATAAAGACACGGAATCGAAGAATTGACATATATGTCAATTACCTTTACCACGTGAACAGTATCAATAGGAAGAGGAAGAGACCAGAGGGATCTCGCAAAAAGCTACCTTCGAAAAAACAGCGCGTCCAGAACTCTGGCCCATCCACCACCACTACCCATCCCAGAAACCAAGTTGATTGGTCGGGATGATACCAAGCAATGAAGAACGGCCGAGATTAGCCCAAACGGTCGATCATGGGTGGAACATGTTCATTTGGTCGAGGTTCAGATGCTTGACCTGTCTCTCCATTGCCAACTACTGACTTTTCTTGTTCAGGATTGTCTCCATCCCTTGCTGCAACACCTTACTGGATTGTTCCTCCTTCTTTGCTGACATATTCTTCGACTGTATCTACCTAGTATTTATTGTTTTCGCATCTCCTGCCAATATTCATGTTTGCTGTTGATAACACAGTCCAGTAAATCTTCCGCTGGCGAGTCTGTCCCGAAGCATTTTAGGACAACTATCTTTGTGTAATGAGCTGTACAATATGAAGATCTTCTCTCATAACTGAATGGAGAGGTCAGCTCCCCGCGTATCCAAGTCCAACACTGACTTAGTATTTTTTGTTAACTGGTGTGCATGGCGCGAGAGCCAAATTGAAAGAGAACTAAGAAATGACGGATTTCGGCAGGGCCCTTATAGCTTCAGCGGCAGGAGCCGACCGGAGCCGAGTGAGCAAATGGTTGCGATTGAACTTCCGGCATTGACCGGCATTTGCTCATACAGGCTAGAAGCCTGCAACCTCCTGCAATGCCAACCTACAACCATGATGTTACCTGAAGAACTTCTTCACACTATCGTTTGACATCTCGCGTACAACCCTAACATCATCGAGCGTGAACTTCTCCTATCGCCGCGTCAATACTGTGCTTCCGCACTCTTACCTCTATCAATCGCGAGTCATCAATTCCGACGAATCTGTCTTCAACTTCTTTTCAACCACGTCAAAGTCAGACGAGTCGGAGAACTCAGGAAGCTCCAGGGCCAATGTCTGCTCAACGATACCTTTGCGGCATGTATTAGGTATGGACCTATGGCCCTTTTTGTTCGTTGAATTCTGGCGAGTGCTTAACAAATCTGCATAGGACGTTGGATATCACTGACATGTTTGGCTTCGAAGCGGACTATGAACTCCTATCTCAAATCCTACCTCACTTGCGTAACCTATTGTGCCTCCTCATGTTGGATCAGATCCACGCAACTTCGAAACTGTTTCAGGCAATACAATGTCACCCCTCTGCGACCATCGCTATCTCCTCGTTTTGGAATTTACCCCAAGGATTGTCAGATCACTCTGACCTACGGAAAATCATTGTCAGGGCTTTACATATCTATGGCAATGAAGGATACAGCAGCAACTACTTTGACCAGCTTCGGGTCTGTGGCATGCAGATCAAATGGGTTGCCATTGACCAACCTGGTTTCTTGAAAGAACCATTTGGCATGATTAGATTCTCCGGCCTTGTCGAGCTCCAGCTCAGAATGAAAAGTTCACCTGTGGACTTTGCATCGTTCAATGAATTCAGCTGCGCTCATCCTAATCTGCAAAAAATCTGTTTTGCCGACTTCGACCACTCATACTTTCGAGAGCAGAGCAATTTGATGTTCATGGAACCCTTTCTTGATGTGCTCGCACGAGATGGTTTAGCTGCTGCCACACGTATTAGAGGATTTGCTGTCACTCGTAATACTTCGATTCTGAATGTGTTGTCTTACTGGAACGTTACCAGCTTGTTCTTGACCATCGCCGAGTCATCGGAGCAAGTCTTACAATTGGCGAGCTTGTTGTACCCCGAGATCTTAATACTAACAATCGTTCATGCACCTTGTACCGTGGTATGTACTGTTGTTCCTCTTTCACTCCTTTGCACTGATATCCTAGAGTACCTAGGATGAGCTTATCGCGTCTCTTGGTCGCTTTCCATCATTGAAAATAGTCGGTCTACTGCACACATTCGAACAAATTGAATTTGGCATCGATGAACCATGGCAAGACCCCAGTATCGTCGAGGCGTACGAGGGACCAATGATCGGTCCCATTGCAACTGAATTCGCGATGAACTGGTGCATATCTCGGATCGCAATGGTGGTGCCCTCGATTGAAGCCTTCTACATCAAAGAAGAAGGTTATGATGGTCCAAACCTCACAGGTGAAAACTGGCACATCTATGGATGGATCTTGGTGCATGATATGCATAGGGAGAACCTGCCATTGAACGACCCCGTTCCTCTCTATATCACGCCACTCACAAGGCGTCCAGGTCGGCGTCCAGGCTCAAGATCGATTGCGATGAAGTATTATGATACTACTTTTTTTGTGTGTCGAGTTACATTTTCTCGTCAAAAGGTGCTGGGATTATTAATAAATGATACAGCTTACTTATACCACAGCATAGGTTTAGGGATAGCGTTGAACCTTGAATGTAAAAAACTTGGGTGGGCAAAAATGAGATCCTTCCCCGAGTCTCGACTTCTCTGTGGCTGCAGTGTATAGCCTGAGTGTATAGCCAGCGCTTGTCTACCGTGTATGAGGTATATGCCATCCATCGGGATTCAGTAAGCATCAGCTACTAACATCAGCTGAGGTAAAGGACCAGGTGAGTTGATTCAGCGATTAGCAAGCTGCGATAGGAAAAACATGCAAGTTGCAGCCTGCAGCCTGCGATTACAGATGAAAGCAAAATGAGTCAACCCGGGATCATCAACAAATCGCGAAACCGCCGGTGTCATGGAGGAAATTTCGAGTCGCTCTGAATCGCTGCTTGCATAGTAGCCTTCGGAGGCCCTTCGATGTAGTTCATGTCAATCATCATCGTCCAACGGCAAACCTTCAGATGGTAGCGGATTCATATCTTGCTTGGCCAGTCTGGTGAGCGCGAAGTTTATGCTGAGTGATTCCGGAGTACTCCAACAAGAAGTTGGTATTGGAACTTGCCTTAATCGACAGTAGTCTATATGATCAGAATGTAGTTGGAAGGAAAAAAGGAAAGCATCTGAAAGCATGCAATCTAAAGCCCTGATTAGGATCTTATTGAGTTCCCTGGTAGTATATCGGTTAGTACACGCGCCTGTCATATTTCATGTGTGAATTGCTCCGCGCGAAAGCTGGGTTCGACTCCCAGCCAGGGAGTACGACTAATCTAAAGAAGTTCAGTTTTTTTTTTACCTCTGCACGTAGCATTACAGCGTATCCGGAAAACCTTGTCAGTGCATGTTATTTCGCCGGCGCAAAAAATAAAATAAAAAGAAAAGGTACCGAGTACAAGCGACTCTAAGCGACTCTAAGCGAGCCAGATCACTGTCACCCTTGAAGTGTGCATCACACTCACAAGCCTTTTGCTCTCTCATTATGGCCCACAATGGGCAGTTATGTGATGATTTGCATTGGTGGAAGCTTGATACCCATGCTTGATGCGCTTGAAGGCCATACAGACATGAAAATCTTTGAAAGGTGAGCTCCAGTAACAATGCTGATCCTGATATCCAATATCCCACCTCGCTTATACTCAATTACTTGCCTCGCTTATACTAGGTACCTTTTATTTTTCGGGCGGTCAAAAAAAACCTGCACTGACAAGGTTTTCCGGATATGCTGTAAGTAGTATGTACTGATCTCGTTTGGCGAAAACAGTAGTGATTTTCGGAACTGGTAGGCTTCCAGATCTCCCAAACAACTTGGGTCCTTAAGTTATTCGTCCTAGAGTCATTCCTTATTATTACTTCAATGAATATCATATCTAAACTAAAGTAATATTGCGTCTCGACTCATTTCCTCGTTCCACATCTTTCCACATACCCATCTCCAAAGAACACCTTCAGGACAAGACGTCCTCTGAAAAGTTCTACGAGTGATCTCCGAGTCCGCTCCGATTCACCCTCAACACATTCTTTAGTATCGACATTGAACCCATTGAAATCATTGTCCATGAACCCATCCCACACTCGGTGAATCACGAACTCCCGAACGATATTGACAATATCACCAGTAGGTCCGTCCCTGATAACAAGCGCGCCAGTGTGGAGACCTGGCTTGGATTAGGATGAAGCAGATGAAGACGGAAGAACAGATGCATCACAGTGGTCATGGTGTTTGGGTCCTGGGAGGAGTGTGAGATGATGGTCAGGAGGAAAGTGAGGAGGATGAGGAGGACTGATGAGGAGGACTGAGGATGATGTGGAGGAGGATGAGGAAGATGAGGAGGAGGAAGAAGAGGAGGAGGAGAAATTCTGCAATTACGGTTGGAAGCAAAAATTGGAGTCAACCGTTTATACTATATATGTAGAGTTCAAGGAGAGATTGTGAAACTGCCGATGCGGTACATCATAGGAAGTTTCCCTTTTTGCTGCTTGCCATTCAAGTTATAAAGACTGCTGAGGTCAATCGTGTCAATCGTGGGGGTTTAGGTACAACGAGACGCCTTAGGTCTCCTTAGGTGCTGTCCTAGCAAGCAAACCTCGGACTACCGGATCCACATCTTGCAAATGCTTGGCCAGTCTGGGGACTCTGGTGAGCGCGCAAAGTTCATAAGAACTCCAGGAAGACTTCAACAAGGAGTTTGGTATTGGAACTTGATGGATAGTGTACACTGAAAGAATGTAGAAAGGAAGGAGGGAAGGAGCTTAATAGGGTCGATCATCAAGCTATATCTATAATTCCCTGGTAGTATATCGGTTAGTACACGCGCCTGTCATAGATCTTGAGTCTCTCTCAAACGCGCGAAAGCTGGGTTCGACTCCCAGCCAGGGAGTATACCAGCTTAGCGATAGCGGCTCATTTTTTTTTTCAACCTTTGTACAAACTAAATTAAGCATTAAATATTAAATATTCAATATTGAGTATGTACTGATCTCGTTTTGCGGACAGTATGAAGGGACATCGAACTGGTGTCTGCCATAGTCCATGAACCTGATAGATGATATGTAGGCTTCTAGATCTCAAACAACTTGCCAGGTCCTTATACTCGTCCTATCATTCCTTAATTACTTCGATGGATAATATCTAAAGGTAAAGTATCGAGTCTCGACTCATTCTCACCAACTTCTAACGTAGTAAAACCCCTTTCTCCCTTCTCCCTTCTCTCTTCTCCCTTCTTCATCCTTCTTCCTTCTTACTAAACTTACTCACCTTCCATAATCCATCTCACTCCTCACTCCTCACTCCTCACCGCCCAAAACTCCAACCCATACCCCTCCATCTCCTCATGCCCGCGTTCGACATACCCCTCTCCAAAGAACACCTTCAGAACAAGATGTCCTCTGAAAACCTCCATGGCCACAGCTGATCGCGTTCGACCACTCTCAACATCATCGATATCGTCTGTGAACCCAACCCACACTCGGTGGATCACAAACTCCCCGAACGAGTCGACGATGGAACCGATGGAACCGATGGAACCGATGGAACCGATGGAACCGAGAGGTCCGTCGCCTATGACGAGTGCGCCGGCGTGGAGACTTTGGAGACCTGGGTTGGACTTGGACTTGGACTTGGACTTGGCCGGAGGAGGCGGCAGACCAGAGTGAGAGTGAGAGTGGGATGAGGAGGATGAGGATGAGGATGAGGATGAGCATAAGGAGGAGGAGGGAGGAGAACAAGAGGCTTCATGAGTCGGAGCACACGCCATCATCATATCCACATCCGAATCTTGACGCCGCAATGGTACTGAAGACCCTAACGAAGGTCCCTCCTCTTCTCGGATGTCGTGTAACCCGATCCTCAGACACTCGTGGCTCACTGGGTCTCTGATCAGCGTGGACTGGATGAACCCTTGGAGTCCATCGAGACTTGACGATGATGAGTATGAGTGAGTGCTAGTGGATATACCGCCAGTTAGAGTATGATCGGGAAGAAAACACCGTGCGTCGACGAGAGCTGTCGCGTTCGAGAGTATCCTTTCCAACGCTCGGTAGTCAACGTCAGCGCCAGCGTCAGCGGAGGCAGCAGCAGCAGCAGCAGCGGCGAAGGAGGGGGGTATCACGTTCGAAGAGGTGGAGAAGAGATGGAAGGTTCCGGAGAATCGTGGAGGAGGAGGAGGAGGAGACGAGGGTGATGCTAATAGCAAGTGTGGTGGTTGTGATTGTGGTTGTTGGATCGCAGCTTTCAAGTTTGGGTCGTTCAAGTGTGTGTCGAGCTTGGTTGGATGGAGAGTGCTGGTAGAGGTATGTATATGAGGACTTTGGTTCGGATTGGAATTGGAATTGGAATTGGTGGGTATATGAGCACCACGCGAAGGCAATGCCTTCATTGGACGTTCAAGGAACAATGCGGGTGGGGCTGAGGCGGGGGTATAACGGTTGGAAACGGGACCTATGGCAGGAGAAGAATGACTATTGCTTCCTGTGTTCGCAGCATGCGGAAGCATATGAGAGTGTATATCTCGAGGAGATGGCTAGACGAGAGACTACACTCAACACCAATCCCTCACCACTCGGGAAAAAAAAAAAAAGTTCAACTTTCAAACACGCACCGGTAAACAAGAATGGACATCACGCATGGCCAGAGCAGTCCGTGCCCGTTTCGTGGGTCTCTCATCCTCATCAGTCTCTATCTCTATCTCTACCTCTATCTCTATCTCCTCGCAGCCGCCAACAGACTCAGAGTTTGTGTGCCAGAAACTCGTGTGTCCGAGAAGACCATGACGATGAGCTTGATTCTGCGGATGATGTGAAAGTCGTGTGGTGACCATCGCCGCGAATTTTTTTTAAAAAAATCTTCTCGTAAGGTTTTTTGGTGCTGGAGTCAAGGGTATCAAGGCAGCTGAGACGTATTGGACGCGTGGAGAGACCCGTGAAGAAGAACAAGAAGAGAGAGAGAGAGAGGTTGGGCAGAGTGGCAGAAACAAAGAGGTTTCTCAAGTTTTTCGACGCGTCGGTTTTTCGGAGGTTTCGAAGAAGACGGCCTTGGCTGTAGAGCAGCGCTAGCAGTTGTTTGAATAGTGAGAGGATGAGTTGAGAATGACTGACTGAGAGGAGTTTGAGTGTTTATAGTGGACAATGACAGAGGATGTGTTGGTGGCAGGCAAACTCGAGGCAGAATGATTTAGGGGTTATTTCATTTTCACTGGTTGCCATAGACTACTGGAATACAAGACGAAGGTATAGGTAGACAACATGGAAAAAAAGGATTCCCGTAATCTTTGTTCCCTGACAAGTCTGTAATCGTAGGCATGGTTTCTCGCGTTGTTTGTTCGAAGTGAATGAAGTTTGAGAGTGCCAAAAGTGAGATTCTCGGTGATGGGTTTTGGATGCACGACACGTAGACTCTAGAGCACGAACCGTCTTTCGACAAGCAAAGGACAATACACAAAAAAGGATCAGCAACCACCTATAAACCCTTGTCCTTAGCATCCACGTCTACTTTACTCCCCTTTGACGACTCTTCATCCTTCGACTTCTTCGTATCACCCTTCTCACCCTTCCCTCCCGCCTTCTTCTCCTTCTCATCCTCCTCCATCTCCACCCTCCCAATCGTCGCCTTATTATCCACCAACCCATGCAACGCAATCACCGCCCTCACCAAACTACTCAAATACACCACCAACAGCTCATCATTCGTGCTCGTCGCGAAACTCTGCGTCGTGTCCGTGTCCGAGAGGTCCGGGAGGAGGTTGAGCGCGTCTTGGAGGTGATACACGATCGGGTGGTTCACCGGCATCGTACCCGCCCCGACGTCTCCGAGGTATTTTTGGATGTCGGTCAGACGGGATTGGAGACCGCGGAGGGAGGACAGTTGTTCGCTCACCCGGGTGGCGAGGGTGGTCGTCGTCGAGTCTTTGATGTCCCGGAGGAGGTGCTCGACCCCGATTTCTTCAGCTTCTTCGGCTTCGATGGCGGATGGACAGTGGAGGAAGGTTTTGCGGGTTTCTGTGCCGTCCTGGATACAAAAGTCAATATGTCAACAAGTACGTCGGTTTGAGCATCAGAGGGTAATTGGAAAAGGGATTCATTCACATCTTTGATTTCTTCGACAGCGAAATAGGCATCTGTGGGTATACCCACTGTTTGGGGCCGTACATCCACGATGACCATTATCGGCCGAGCGATGAACCGTTTGAAGAGGTCGTTGATCTCTTGATCTGATGCTCTCAGTTTTGGTCCAGTGTGGTACCACCCAATCAGCCTTTCTTTCGCTAGCGTATATCTCAGTCAGAGATATACTACATAGAAGCAAAGTAGCTGCAGACATTACCGTTGACCTTTTTGAACATCTCATACATCCCTTCGATGTAATTATGATCTAAGAACCACGTCTTACTATCCTTCTCATCCTCCTCAAACGGAATACCGAACGAGTTGGCGACATTGATCGTCTTGCCGTTGTCTTGGCCTAGAAGGACGCCGATGACTCGTTTGTTGGTGTTACGGGAGACGGCGCGTGCGTGATGGTCTGCTACGGAGAGGAGGACAAGTGGGTGGACGACTGGATGTTCGTCGTTAGAGATTAGTGGTTAGGAATCGATAGTTGAGGATGAGTCGTACTGATGTTGGTGGCAGCCAAGGCTGTTAGCTAGTAGTCAAGTAGCATTAGAGAGTTGACACAGAGAGCATTAGGATTAGTTACTTGTTCTGTTGTCGGAGCGACCATGATGGAAATGAAGTGAAGACGCGTACTACGCAATGGATGTGTGTTACGCGTTCAAGCAGATAAGATAAGATAACTCGCAAGCGCCCATTGATCCAAAATATTCACACGGAGCAAAAAACGTTAACATCCAAAAATTTTGCCTTCAACACCGACCTGCGACGAGAACAGCTGCTCTCTTCATTCTTTTGTTTTTTTTTCCACAAAATGGCATTTGGTATGCAACAGTCCTCAAGTGACTTTCTCAGACTAGCAGCTCAACATCGGATTTGTTTCTAGGCGCATCTGGAGGTCGCGGGGGATTTGGTGGGAGAGGCAGAGGCGGAGGTGGAGATAGAGGCGGAAGAGGTGGAGGTCGTGGCGGTGGTCGTGGTATGTCTTCTTTCTTTTTTCTTCCGCAAACTGACCCCATCTCATCACGTCCAGGCGGAGCAGTTCGCGGAGGAGGGATCAGAGGACGCGGAGGAGGAGGAGGAGGAGGTCGTGGAGCACCCGGTGGCCGAGGCGGCGGACGCGGTGGTGGTGCTCGTGGCGGTGGACGTGGTGGACGAGGCGGACGAGGCGGAGCAAAAGGCGGCTCCAACGTCATCCTCGAACCTCACCGACATCCCGGAATCTTCATCGCCAAAGGCAAAGAATCTCTGCTCGTCACTAAAAACCTCGTCCCAGGTGAATCTGTCTACGGTGAGAAGCGGATATCCATCGACGGAGGCGTGGAGGGGACCAAGGTGGAGTATCGGGTCTGGAACCCGTTTCGGTCGAAATTGGCTGCGGGGGTTCTGGGGGGGTTGGATGATATTTTTATTGCGCCGGGGAAGAAGGTGTTGTACCTCGGTGCGGCGAGTGGGACTAGTGTTAGTCATGTTGCTGATATTGTTGGACCAGTAAGACTCTGATTCGTCTCTCCCGTCTTATCTCGCTCTCAAATATCCGTTTGTATTTCTAGGAAGGCATTGTCTACGCCGTAGAATTCTCACCACGATCTGGCCGTGATCTTATTGGGATGGCCAAAAAACGAACAAATGTGATTCGTAAGTTACTCTCTCTCTCTCTTTCTCTCCAACCTAACAAACACGACTGACCCCATAGCTATCGTCGAAGACGCACGGTTGCCCACAAAATACCGCATGCTCCTATCCCAAGTAGACGTCATCTTTGCCGACGTCG